AATCGTCAATAGTTGCGTCAATCGTCAAAGTTGCGCCTGACGAAACCATTGACGAAACCATTTGCGTCATGCCAAAAACGTTGCGTCACCCATCATTAGTGCCCATCTCTAGTTACAGTAGACTCAAGACCGTGTGCTTTAAATTCTTTTAAAATAGTGAATTAATTAATAATAAACCTTCGGTACAATGTACTGTATTTTTAATTTTTTTTTGTAATAGAACGGGTTAGAGCTCGGCACAATCAAACAAAAATTCGTTCAAGTTGACGGAAAGTCAACAGATCGAAAAGATGGCTAAGCAGGGATACTCCGGTCCCGGCCTGCTAATTGCGCGGGTTAAGATACCGAAATCGGTATTGCGATTTGACCGAATTGGGAAGACAATGAGCTGACGAGCGCGTAGGAGCATATGAATTCAGATGAGTACCTTTAATCAGTTGCCTGTTTTGGGAAATCTATGAGTAGCGTGTGAATATACTAAAATAACCGATACGGAAGGAGGCAACGATTGCATTACGAAATACAGAGCGAGATTTGCACCCAAACCCTCCCACCCAGGCAGAATCCTGCCGTTTGTGGTATCATAAAAGCTTCTTATCAAAAGTCGGCCTGCGTTATGCAGTGTGGGAAACCACCGACTGTTGCTACACATCTCAAATTCAGCTGATGATGGTGATACCCGGCGCAATAATAGTTGCTATTTCCGGGAGCATGTCCCGTCTCAGTCTGTACATCAATTGCACTGATGTATTCTCGATAAAATCATTTAATAAAGTTTAATGTCTGGCATTAATAGCCAGGTGCATCCAATTAATTATATATATATCACGTGCGTGCAATGCTTTTCGACAGTCAAATACTTGTGATTGTTAATGCTCCGGGTTATATGAATAATTTTGCTCCAGACCACTCCATATGGAGCAACCCGGGTTTTGCTCCAGATTACTCCATATAAGCATAGGCGGCTTCATTCCGAATGGCTAATAGATCTATAAAAACGTTCTATAGCTAACTCTCTTAATTATTCCTCCATTTTCGAGATTATTTTGAAGTATATAGAACGAAAGGTGAAGTTTCTGAATATATATTCGGCCCCCTGGACAATTCGTTTAAAGTCAGATAATATATGTGGTGTATATGTGATGATACATTTCAGTAATTAACCAATTGGATTAAAGACCACTATGCTGCTCCAAACCACTCTATATGGGGTTTGCTCCAAGTCATTCCATATGGAGCAACACAGGTTTTACTCCAGGTCACTCCATATGGAGCAACACGGGTTTTACTCCAGACCACTCCATATGGAGCAATCCGGGTTTTGCTCCAGGTCACTCCATATGGGTTATAAGAAATAACTTTACTCCGATTTATTATATAATTCCTAAAAGCTCAACCCACTCCAACCTTAAGCTGGAGTATAACCCGGGTTGTTCCAGAGTACGTTGCTCCATCTCCATTAACAACCCTAGATATGGCAGACTAAAGGTTGTTTACGTACATACGACGCATCACGACTGATGCTGGAACCTAAATCAACCAATCAGATGCGGCAATTTCAGCTTCATCAGCCGCACAAAAATATTGATGGATCATCGGTAATGTTCCTGATGGGGTGGGAAAAAAATCGATCCCGATATGGTTAATTAAGGAACTCTATTCCGATTAAAAATATAATCTATTTTTTAAGGAACTCTATTTCCAATTAAAATATGGGCTGCCGTCAATAGAAATCAAGCAGATCTACATTTGAAAAAAAATCAATGCCTTAAGTTTCACAGCTCATA